TCGAGAAGACCGTCACTGTTTGTATCCGTGAGTTTCCACCTGAGTCATGTCCAGCCCGAAAAAAAGCATCGGAAACACAAGGTGCTATGCACTGAAAGCATCTAACAGCTCCCTTCAATACCCGTCACCACTGCTTTTGGATGGGGCGCAAAAACCTCGTAAATTGTAAGCGCATGAGTGAATGGGAGTAGAATCTTGAGTAGAATCGAGTGAATGCACAGCACAAAGTCGACATGAAGTCCCTCTGTGTTTGGATATCTGAGCGATGGGCCCTTGTGGACCAAGACCAAGGGCGAGGGGAAACAAAATCACCAAGAAGACCATTGGACGGTGACACCAACAACTACCAACAATGACCCAATACATTCATGGGTCATGCATGCAATCGATGGCTAGTTTTTTTCCTCCTTATGCCATCTACTATATCTATCCATCATATTCTATACTCTGAATCACCCACAGGACCCAGGGGACCCGTTCGAACCGGATTCGGTCTCGTCGATGCACGACGACAAAACATCTCGCCCGAATCGGGCCAGGAGTCGAGTCGGAGCGAGCCCTTGAGGAGTTGATGGCGATCATTTCAGCCACACTCCCCTCCCTTTTTCCCAGAAAATTTTCATCCGGGAGTTGTTTTGTTTGTTCCTTTTTTCATCTTTTTTTCAAACAAAAAAGACAGACGACGTGTCAGACTCCTCGTTTTTCGTCCAACATCACCACCGTCACCACCCCAGACCATGGACCCTCCGACCTGATTCTCCGACGAGTTTCCACACGAGCGTCCACACGTGACCGAAACCTCGTGCACGAAACTTCCTCGTGACCCGTGGGGTCCCGTGCAACCACTCGAGCTGTTCGGACCGGAGGCCCAGATCCAAGCTATTGACCTGGGAGCCCGGACGAGTCGCGAGGGGGGGACGACTCGCGGCCGAGAGAGTCGCGAAGGCCGAGGCGGAGATCGGAGCCCGGGGGGTGGATGAGACGGTGGTTTTTTTGCGGGGTCTGACTTGGAGAGGATAGAGGACATACGTCGAATCGAAGATGTTCCAACTATATAATTCAATCAAAGGTCAGAATCCCAGCAAAAGCCCCACTCCACCGGGGCCCAGTAGATTTGGCTCAGCATCCCACTGGCTGGGGGCAAAACGTCAACTCTTTGTCCTTGGAACAGTCTCCTTCTCCGAGAAGAATGGTGTCGTACAAGGCCTATCTGGGACCCCCTTTTGGGAGCTTCATGTAACTAGTAGCGATGCACTTGTTTCTACTAGCTTCTTGTTACTACTAGTAAGGCCCTTGTTACTAGTAGCGATGCACTTGTTTAATATGGATCACGAGGTCCCAAACCATTCGCCAACATTGGGACACGGCACCAGGGCGTAGAACTCGCTCTTCTGTGCGCGCTGGTGTTGGGACACTGCGCCAAAGGCCTCGCAGCTAAACTAGAGCTGCCACTGCTGCGTTGAGCGGCCATTGGAAGACTTTGCGAAACTCAAGAATACGACGACTACGATGTGTTCGATGTGTTTGTTAATCTTTTTTCACTTTTTTGCGTTCACCCTCTTAATATGCTCAAGTCTGAAGTATAAAGAAGAGTGAGTCGTGCTAGCAGAATTGAAGTAAAACAAAACAAATAGATAGGTGGTCCGGGATTTCTTCCATCAACAGCAGCTGCCAAAACCAAAAGGATTGATGTTTGAGTTCAACTTGAACAGCAAGCATATCCATGCAGCATGCACCTAAAAACGAGGTAACACAGTTTTGTCTATTTTGGGGGCTGGCAAAAGACATGCAGGAACCTCAGGTGATCATCAAAGACCTGTACCTGGCCCACGGTGTACTCCAGTCCTCTCTAGCTGTCCAGCCCATTCGCTGCAGCGCCTCAGCGACAAAGGAGACACTTCTCCCGCAGAGAGGTTGGACTTTCATCCCAACAAAACCTCACGTGCCCTGCAAACAAGGGGCCCCCCAAAAACCTCATGTGCCACCATGTGCGGCCGTCCACAGACGGTCCCCGCAGTACGACGGGAAACTGTCGTGCTCGGTCGTGCTGCGAGTCGGTAGACCCTACCATGACCTGCCGGTAGGTGAACTCTCCCAGCAGAAAGGGATGACCCAGATGGTTTCCAATGCATCTTCAGAGGGGGCATTGTCCAACTTCTATCTATTTGTTTGCATGCTTTCTGGGAGCGACGCGCTTCGTTGTGATACCCCGCAAAAACATGTCAAACCAAGGGACGACTGAACCTTGGGATCCCCACGGCGGCAATGCGGCGGTAGATGTCACGTGCCCACCTGGCAGCTGTAGATGTCAGGATCGATGTGAGGAATGGATGGTCAACATCCCGAGCCTTCCGGGAGCATCAGAACAGAGAAAACACATGCAGTAGCTAGAAGCTACTAGTAACAAGGCCATCGCTACTAGGAACCAGGGCATCGCTACTAGTAGCAAGAGGCTACTAGTAACACACGTGTTTGGTCTGTTTGGCTGGTTTTGTTGTTGCTGTCTTCACGCCAAGATGAGTGGCCAGTCTTGTCGGTTTCCCAGCAAGGGGGGCTGCTTTACTCTGTAAAGGAGGGCCCCGACCTATTCGCAATGACCACCAATCAAAACATCAGCAACAAACATCACACCTGCAATTGTTGATATGACCCGCACAGAAAAAATGCGATCTGCACGAAAAACTCACTGTCACCACGTGCCGCTGGAATCAAGCCAGAGAGCGCTGTTCCAAGGGCGCTGCTTTCTTCCCCTGGTGTCGTGGGGGGAGGGAGGTGGATGTGGAGGGATTGTCGTGCCAGGCACCACCTGGAATACTCTGGTGCTAGTGCTCTGGGCTCGGCTCCAAAAAAGGCTGTGGGTCATCGCACCGCAAAAAACAGAAAAACGGTGCCATGACCACGGAACATGACTAGCTAATGTGAGAACGGTATTTTTTTTGGAACCTTTGGTTTGATAAATATGTTCTCTGAAATCGCTGGTGCCGCCGTTTGCCCTTGGCTGGGCATTTGGAATCTATTCGAAGCGAACACAGAATATCCACACTGGGTGAAGCCTCCGATTGTCTTTTCAACTCTCCCCACTCCTCCCTGGTGGGAATCCAAGAGTTATCAGACATAGTCTTCTGGGTTCCAGCAGGACACGTGAAGGAGCACCACCGCAACGAAGAGTACTATATGGTTCAATCACTTGTAGTTTTTGTTCTTTTGCAGGTACACTTTTTCTGACTGCAAACCGATCTGCCGGGAGAACTGTTCACAAAACGAAGACGGGGTGGATCCCCATGATCGGAGAGACGATCGACCCTTGATCGGAGAGACGTGTTTCGCCTCCAAACAGAACCTGTGGCCCTGCTGTCCCCGCACCGTTCCCGCACCGTTGGACGTTCTAAGGCGAAAAACATATTGGATATGATTTGGATGCTTGGCACATGAGCATTCACAACCTTGCACTTAGCTGCGTCACATCTTCACTTGGAACGAGAGGCGCCATGCCCGACATGTGGACTGTGGGCCTTGTCCCAAAACATGTCGAAAATCAGGAAGGATGCTTTACAAGCACATGAAGCAGGTTGGATTTTCAAAAGCACATTCTCTCATACATATTCATACATATTCATACCATCAAGCTCCACATCCAAGTCAAAAAATGGATCCCTCCCCCACCTGTTCCCTCCCCCACCTGTTCGAAAGCAGCGGCCAAGTCATCTAGGGTCACCAGCATCCGCCTGACTCTCACCGCCGTTTTCCCCGGTCTGTCTTTCAAGTCTTTCAGATGAATCCGCTTAGCGACATGAGCGACCAACACTTCTTAGCTCATGAAGTATACAGACCCTCTCACCCCCGCAAAGATGGAAAAGTAGATTCCCAATCAAAATGTATTGGAAACTGTGCCACTAAGTACATCTTCATAACGAAGGGACTCGGAGATCGCATACACTGCTTACCGGGGAGATTGGCCCCATTTCAGAAAAAGAGTACAGCTCCCCCGAACCAAACCTTTTCAATGCAAAGAATGCACAGACTGTCCTAAGCAACGAGTACAATGCTTGTCCCCTACAAAACCATGGACGGACTTCCCAACAAAACACGTCAGTTCATCTCAGGTTACAAGCTCTACAAGCAGACTCCACTCTCAAACTCCACGGATTGTGGGCGATCCACCCGTCGCTCACTTTCCTCCGATCCACCACATCCCCCGCCCGCGGCGGCAGCGGTCGACCAGCGAGACGGGCGGGCCAGTCGGGCTGGACGCCCGTCGAACGGGCCGGAGCGAGCTGGAGCTATTGTACAGGTGATCTATGATCAACATAGGTGTGGGATGTGACCATCGACATAGGCGTCTTTTTTCATGTGGGTCATGTGGGTTTCGAGGTGTTATTCTCTTGGGATGTGAAGACGATTCCGAATGAGACATGGGAGACATATGCGACATCCGACAGAGCGGAGGCGAAAAGCAACACGAATAACAGAATGGTGCACGCAGCATGGTATCCACATGCATCCACATCCAGTCAGCTCCCACACCTATGATCTGTGGTTCTTAATGCTAATTAATGGCTGAGCTGGGATGAGCCGCACAAAAAGCCAACGAGCCCTTCAACTTCTGGGAACACTTCGAGATGAAGGCGATTAAATTGAGAAACACAAACAAGCATGCAAAGGACGAGCGCCTAAATAGTGGGCTGTTCCCCACGACCATTTTGAGGTTCATCATATGTCAATTGTGGTTTCTTTAGATATCTTGAGATATCTCAATCAAGCGCTGCACAAGATTGGCTACTGGATTGGCTCTATCGCAAGGTCAGCGTCTGTTGGATGTGCACTGAACAAAGAGACGAGCTCTCACCATGTGAGGCCGTTGACGCTGCGCGCAGCGGCACAGCGCCACCCCCGAGGATGTTTGTCACACAAACACCCTCCGACCCCGCTGTGACACGTTGGGTGGGGCCTTGCATCGCAAGCAACCAAGTTGAGCTTCTCCCAAACCCACCGTTTTTCAAGCCGTTCTGCATCTGGAGATCTTCCACTTCGCACTAAACATCGAACAACCCCACCCCCTCTGAATCTGCAAGCAGTCTCAACAAAAGACTGCGGCTTCTTCCCGGTGCTGCGACGTGCGGTCTTTCTCCCGCTGGGCCAGATGGACCACCTGACCGGGGACCAGTGACCGGGATGATGTGGGACTGGAGGGCGTTTTCCGTTCGACGCAGATGGAGAAAAACCACCCTCGGATAGTCCGCCCCTCTGGATGGCGATCCTAAGACGGCGAGACGTACCATCTGAAGATGGCTCTTGAAAGTCTGAATCCAATGCTTGTCTTCACAGAGCTTCGTGTCTACATCTTTTTCTAGAGGTCTTTGCTAGTCTGCTAGATGTCTAGGAGGTCGTCTGCTACTTCAGCCTACTTCAGTCAGCGCGCGTCGGTTCATCCTGCCACGCCTCCGCGTGAGACGTTTCTCAAACCAACACCGCCGGCGCTGTCAGGGCCTGGGAGTGACTCCTAAAGACCGGGACCAAGGCGGTCTGGTGCTGCTTGGTGCTTGGTGCTTGGTGCATGGTGTTCAAAGGGGAGGGACCCTGACTGCAACTTTCATGAACTTCCATTTGAAGGGCATGAACTTCCATGATCTTCCATGATATATGTTTGTAAAGATTTGAAGGTATTTCAAGGAAGGAGCTGCTTGGATGGTGTTGGGCTTGGATCACTTGGAGAATCACAGCGGATTCATCTCATCCAACCACCAACTTCCTTATTTAGGCAGTTGCAACTTCCTCCCAGCTCCCGGTTGGTTCACTACCACAGTACCACATAGCTTCTAAATCAACTGGATGTGCATTCACTCCAAAATGGCCCTGACATCTGTTTTACGGCACCAAAAGCTCTGAAACCCAAAAAATCAGGCGAAACAGGTCATGAAAGTTCACACCCAATGATATGGGCCCCAATCAAACAATACATATCTCTTCCCTGAAGTATCTGCTTGGATAGCAAGAATCAACCAACTGCCAATCTACCAAGAAGAAGGATGGCCATCCCTATAGTAGCTTTGGATGGCCCTTGCTAGTCGCTTGGAGGCCATCCGCCTCCGCCTCCCCCCGCACCTCCGCTTTCACCGCGGCGTTCTCGGCGTCCTCCGCGGCGTCGCCGTGCAGGTCGTGGTAGATCGCCAGCACCTGCCGTGACCCCAAAGGCTTCCAGGACTTCCGCGGCATCGAGCATGAAGGTGCCCCAAAACTGTTCCTCCTCCCCATGAAAAACCGGTCAGAATGGATCGTTCTGCGGATCTTCAGCGTTCGTCGTGAGCGGAATTTCAATCCAAGTGGTCCAAGCTCCTCCAAGTGGCCCCAGGCACCTCCCCCACTCGCGGACCTCAACGACCCCACTCTCCTCTCCTCTCCGCCACCTCAGCGAAGACGGTGACGTTGGCCTCGGCCGCCTCGATGGCTTTGGCCTTCTCCTCGCCGCGGTCCATGGGCCGCGGGCGATGCGTGGGCCGTGACGGACCGAAGCGCTGGCCACCGGTTGCGGCGGAGCGAGAACCCGCGGAGAAACGGAGCGGGTGGGGGTCGTCGTCGTGCGACTGGGGATGGTGGGGTGAAGTGAGGCCTTTGAGGCTTTGGATGCTTTTGGAAGTTCCATTGACACCCCCCAAACGTATGTGTCTGGCCAATAGAAAGGACAAACCTGCTGACCCCCTCCAACCGGCTCCAACTCAAGTTCGTACAGAACTTGTATGCCCCCGAAAAGACACGCCGTTTTGCTGGCCTTGTCTCCTGTTCCAGGAAGATCCGTTGAACATCAAAGTTGAGTCATGGCCATACAGAGTTACTTATACTGTTACTAGATTGGAGGCCATCGCTTTTAGGTTGAAGGCCATCGCTCTTGGGGTGGAGGCCATCGCTCTTAGGCTCTTAGGGCCATTGCTAGTTGAGTTACATCTTATACTCCAGAGTTGCCCAAAAGTCCAGGAGCGACTGTAAAGGGTTGGCTTTTGAGACCAACGCAGTGCTCACCTGCTGATGTCATGGTGCTCTCCACCGGAACCAACATCGAAACCAACAGCACAAACCTGTATGCAGGAAAACATGTGGCCTCTTGAAAATACAGCTACCAAACCTTGCCTGCGGCATCCCGCGACCTATATATACACACACAATATTTTGTTATACTCATTTGAAGGTTATCGTATCATATCGTATCTATATACATCTATGTACTATAGACTTGTATAGTCTACTCTTGTTCACCAGTCACCAGTTCTTCAACCTTGAACCCGCCGAAGTCCGTCGAACCGCCGCCAGTCGCCCGCCCAGGAGGGACCGCGCCTGTGCCGAGGTCTCGAAGGCCTCGAGGGACGACTGCATCTTCGCGACGTTCACCTCGACGCCCGCGCCGCCCGCGTTTGCTGCAGAGGGACGGGACGGCCAGGTGGGAAACAGCGGCCAGGTGGGGTGTCCGGCCGAGTAAGTGAGAGCTGCTCGAAGGAAGAGGAGGAAGATGGGGGGCGATTTCGAGTTTTATTTCCAGTTCCTGGGTCCGACGTTCAATTCACCAAGCGATTGTCCATGAATTCTATAGAACTTTGTGGAAGGATCTGGAAGGCATTTTCCTCTACCCACGCCATTGCTCGTGGCTTTCCGCACCCCAGCGTCGTCGACAGTCCGGGTCGACCTCTTCTTCCACCAACGACCAACCACCACTCCGCTCCAAACGCGGCCCCAAAAAGGACCACCCAGGCCTCTGGCATCGCTACTATGGGCTCCTGGCCTTACTACGAACGGAGCCTGAAAGCGAGGGCCTCTCCACCCGAAGGGAATTTCTGGTAGCGATGGCCGCCCCCCGTCCCAGGCCTCCTTTTCACAAGCCACTTCTTCAGCAGCCTCCAGCTGTTGCTTCATGTCTTCCAGGCGAGCCTTGGCCTGGCAGTTGGAGTCCGTTGGCCTGCCGTTGAGGCCTTGGTCTTGGACTTGAAAAAGAGTGGAAGAAAGAGAGACAGGACCAAAAGAAGCGAAGGTCAACTGGTCGAAAAGGAAAACACAAAGAAAACAACTTCAATGGAGAGAGGGAAGAGGGAGTCTATTTTTGAGCGTGCATTCTTCAGACTCAAACCGGCAAAGCACGTGTCCGGCAACGTTCGAGTGAGGAAGCTGGGCTATGACTGCGAGACACAGGATGATTCGGGGTTACCCTTGACGACGAGCTTCCTGCACCACACCCCAAATATCCTCCACTTTATGGGCCGCTTCCCCCCCCACACACACAGAGCCTGAGTCACTTCCTCTGCTTTCGCGGTCACTTGTGGCCTTATGCTTCGTGCATGGGCTGACGACGTCCATCAAGGCAGGCAGTGACGACACAAAATGGTGAGGCATGGTGGGCATGAATGTCCAATCAGTCGCGTTTTGCGTGAAATCGAGGTGAACATGGACGAACATGGATGAACCTTTTCAACAAGCTACTGCGCGCCACCCACTGAGGTCAGGACTCTCTTGCCTTTTCCTGGAGAGCGAACGTGCTGAGTGATAAGGATGTTTACGTGCGAAGACATGGTATCTGCTACAGGGTAGGGGTTTTCACCTCCCCACGCCTACAGATAGGGACTGATCCAACGAGGTACATCGCTACGAACGGAGCGATCGGACGCTACCGAACGGGGCTCCTGGCTGTAGTACCAACATGGCAAGTCGTGGTGAGATTGCTCAACCATTGAGATCGAGTGAATGCACCCCCACTCATCTGGTCCACAATGTATCGCAAACCTGAACGCCATTTGGAACCCACTACCCCTACTACTTGTGAGAAAGGCCCCTTAGTCCATACGCTGGATCTCTGTCCTTTCACCCGTCGAACACCCGGCGACCACTGGGCCTCGTCCGCGATCTCGTCCAAGGCCTTTTGGATTTGTTCCAAACGTCCCGTCAAGAGACCCTGGCGAGCGATGATAGTGTCAGATGACCTGAAAATGACACAAGAAGCATTGTAGCACTCAGCTGTCTAAGTGTTCTATGTCCGCTAGCTTGAACACAGTTGGAGAGGATGAAGGAGGATAAAACACATGATGGCCCCCAAAGGATAACCATTTTCCAAAGACCAAACAGGTGCCCACATTTGCAACAACACGCAACTCATCGAAAAACAACAATTCAGCTCGAATGGTTGATGTTTTGGTTTCGCCTCACATCCAAGCTTGGACGGGGGGGAACAATGACACCACAGTGATCAAGGCCGGATCACTGATTGCTAAGTCCTAAGTGCTTCCGTAGTGTGTATGCGCCGCGTAGTGTGGTGCGCCCGTTGAGATCTTGAGAGTTGCAGGTGAATCACCAGTCGCGTCCGATCGCTCCGCGTGAACGAAGCACGGCTCACAACGAACGAACGACCCGGTGGGCACCTGGACGGACTCGACCACATGAGTGTCGAAGCCTTGTCGCTCCTCCACGAGTGAAGAAGAACCAACAACACAATGCAAGAGCAAGAAAGGAATTTTAGTGAAAGACAGAAAGAAAGGCAAAAAGCAGCTAGCTCTTACATGCCATCATTGGTTTATTTTGGGGCTGTTTTCTTGGTACTGTTGTTTCCGCTGAACTTCATGGACAAGAAGGAACGACATGTATGATATGTTCGTTTTGATGCTCATTAACTCTATGCAGAGGTATGGTCTAAGCATTTAACTGTTGCTTAACGATTCAACGTGTTTTGTGATGTGCACCTTTCCCCTGATAGTTGTGAAAAGTGGAGGGGGATGTCGTCATTTACCGTGTGTCTTGATCATGTTCTCATGTCCGCCAACCCCGCCCGCAGAAATAGGTTGGATCTCAAGCACAACACTTCCCGCGCACACGAGTGGGTCGGAAGACGAACGAAGGAGAGGTTTTGGAAGACCAGAAGCGGAAGTCAAAAGCAATCATTGTGACTGTGACAAGTATAAGAGGTCTGTTTCGAGGGTCTGTGTTGACGCTGTTCTTCTCTATGCCTCGGAGGAAGAACTCGTCCCGGCCTTCTGTTGCAGCGCCGTATTGGTGGACACAAGCGCATGGAACAGCGACTTCTTTTGCCCAGCAAACAATGCAAAAGAACCAAGGCCTGCCACGCTAGTAGTAACAAGTGCCACGCTAGTAGTAACAAGTGCCTTACTAGTAGTAACAAAAAGCTACTAGTAACAGGTGCCACGCTAGTAGTAACAAGTGCCTTACTAGTAGTAACAAGAA